TTCGGAATATGATCGGGATGGGTTCGACTTGCTCGGAACAAAATCGGAATATATCTGTAAAAAATTTTTTATAGGGACAACATATCTCCTTGAGATTGTTTGGGTTTATCGTTGTAATGTTAATTGTTGTGAAATGTTAAATTTTTAAAAGTGTGAGTCACAGTGTCATCCAATAAAATCAAGCATATTTATAGTCCTCATATAAATTTGTAATATTGCAGATTTTTTATCAAAATAGTAATCGTGATAACTTTTTTTTAAAAAAAATATATTTAGTTCGAATGAATAAAAATGAAATTTGGGATATATTACTTCTAAAAATTATTAATAGCATCCAAATATATATTTCTCGCAAATAATAATAAAACATCATATAAATTTTTGGACACAGGTTTTCTAAGACATATAAATAATTATATTATTAAAAGGTTTAATTTTTTTTTATAAAAAGATAAAATCATATGTCTATTATAGTTTAAATTTTATCTATTATATTATAATAAATTATACTTAGTTAAAAACGTATATTTAGAGTTGCAATAAATTTATATATAAATTTTATATATTAAATTCTCATTCATTTGTGAATTATCAATTAAACTAGATAGTTGCGCAACGTTATCATGCAAAACCAGAAACGGAAAATTTAAAAAAAATAAATAGTTGATTATTAACTTTTGTTAGATAAAAATTACATGTAAGAATTTGCATCTAATCGATCAATGTGGCATTTATTTACACTGATTTTTATTATTGATATGTGATATATCCGTAAAGTAATTATAAGTGCACAAGCAAACCCTATAAAAAGTTTTTAACAAAAAAATTCTGATTTTGTTCTGGATCGATTATATTCCAAACTGAAATATGCATAATATAAACCAAAATCACAATATTGATATTGTTCCGGAAATATCATTGAAATTTTTTAAAATGACTATGGCTCCGTAATGCTGCAATGATTAAATTTATAGAAAATAAAATTTTAGGAAATTTTCCTGTTTAAAAAGTATTAGAAATTATAAATCAAATTTTTAACATTGCATAATAAAGTTACGATAGGTACAAGTTTAAAGTTCTTTATATACTGTATTACAGTTGACCATTTATTAGTATACTCTCGACAAATATACTTCACATCGTTTGACCGGTCAAAGATAATTTATGTAGTATTAGTATAGCATTATACACAATAGCTACTACGTAAATCCCTTTCCAAAATGCATATTATAAGTGTATATTTCACATTTAACATTAACCAGATAAAAATACTTACCAAATAGAGGATAAAGAATTTGATGCTACGATTTGACCCAAACCCTAACCCTAATGTTAATAATAATAGCTTATTTGTATTGTTTAATTGTATCACAAAATTTTACTAGGGTAACCCTGTTGTGTAATTAATAAAAAATATTTCTTGTACATACAATTTTAATAGGGCAACTCTATTTTTAAACTCTAATTCTAACCTTAATGTTAATATTACATTGATTTATTTATACAATAGAAGGTGTACTGTTTAAAATTTTTCTAAATGAAGTTGCGAGGCAAGACTCACTTTAAATATAAAAACATATATACAGTATATACATTTAATAACTAACTATTAGATGAATATCGTTGATCATGAATGAGATGAGCTTGTATTAATAATATAGAATTCAGTACTACCAGTAAATTATATTGAAAGCAGCAGAATTATCAATTTATTTTATTTAATCAAATACTAATTGTTAAAATTTTAGCAACAATGAATAAAGCACAAATATATAAAAATTATTGACATAAATACAGGGCTATTATTCTTCAAATTCTTATATCATGTAAAGATATTTAGAGAAAATAGAAAATAAAATTATAAAGAAAATTGAAGTTCGAAAAAAATAAGAAATTTCAAAATGGCATTGAAATTTATCTACGAACTCTTTGCAAATGATTGGAATTTGAAATCATGTAGCTCTTCTCTTATTTGATGTCTAAATTCTTCTCTCAGTATCATCTCACCAATGAACTCCATTATAGCGCATATTTTCTCCAGATGGTAGATTAAGTTTGTAAGACCTTTTCTCAAACTGTTTCCCAAATAATCAAAGTTATGTGACATCTTGTCCTATACAAATATAGAACCACGATCATCTAAACCAAAACCACATATCCGGAATGGTCCACAAACAATGGGCGAACCCCAGTAACATTAAATGTTTGGTGGAAGTATTTCAAAAAATCAGGATGTAAAATATCTTCATCTTTTTCATCTATAACTTCATGAAACCCGTGATCATTCTTTAATTTATCTATTAATTCAGACAGATCTGGCAGTTCTGGCATGGTGGTTTCACTACTTTTTTCTATACATCCATTGTGCGAGATCTGACTAGAAGATTCCTCCACTCGGATAGAGCAATCCACGAATTCATTTCCAAGCAGTTCTCTAGCTACCATGTTTCTAGTACTGATATATAGTTAAAATAATAGTTAATAATTATAATATACGTAGAAATTTCACCTTCTAACAACATACCTCCTTTGAGATGGTTTGGGTTTATCGTTGTAACATCAATTTTTGTGAAATGTTAAATTCTTAAAGTGAGTCACGGTGTAGTGGCAGATCATCCAATAAAATCAAAAATATGTATAGTCCCATATAAATTTGTAATATTGCGTAATTGCCTTTTTTTTTAAATTATATATTTAAACTAGACAGCTGCGTGACGTTAACGTTATCGCAAAAAGAAAACAGTTGATTAGTTGGTGGATTCGTATTTGTGTTTCGCCATCTTGGTAAATATAGTTTTTTTTTTTTTGTTGTTATATTGATTTTTCTTTTCTTTACTAACTAGCCTTTTGTTTTTTTTTACTCGCATCGTTGGATTGTCGTTTTGTCGCCGTTTGCTGGTGGAGTTAGATTTGATATTGCTGTTCCTT